GCGTCCTTTATTTTGCCTGATGTCTGAAGAGGCGGCACAGAAAGCTCAGATGGTCACAGTAACGTGTTGGTCCACTTCCTGCTCCGGGTCTGGGCGTAAGTCGTCTCTAGCAAACCGTTCTTCGCTGTAGAATTTTGCTTTAACAGTGCGTCCACCAAATGCACGCCCATTAAACGTGAGCAGGGCTCGCGTTGCCTCTTCTTTTCTCTCGTATTCACAGAAGATCCGAACCGCGCAGTCATCTGGCACCCCTGCAGCCTCAAATATGCGAACTTGGAGCAGGTTTCCCAATTTCGCTGCTTCCTCCTCTGTCTCTTCCTTCAGATCTGCGTCCACCTGACCCCTACCCACCATGTTCAGCAGCAACAAAATGCGCGTCGGCGCCATATTGAACGTCACCGCCCGAGGCACTTGACCGAGCGACGTTACGTCGTGACCCTATCGAACAACACAGAAAGCATTACCTCGATTCTCAATTCGAAACGAGCCAGAGTGAAGCCGACGGAGGTTGTTTGTCCCTTTTCTCTTCCGCCGCCAGGCGCATGCACCACTTGCAGATAAACAAGGATACATGGACGACCGCTTCGCTGGAGTNTGAAGATCCACATGCCTTAGTATACATGTGCTACTAACAGGAGTCAATACGAGAGTAAGAACACACTTATAACCGCAGAATCTTTTCTTCTACAGCTAAGGGAACAAAGCCAGTCAACTGGTATGATTTGTGTAGAATAACAAGTGTGCTTGTGAAGTAGGTCACACGCGCAACTCAGCAAAACAAACTGCCCAACAAGCGAATGCATCAAATTTGGCACGAGCACCACGGACACTCTCCCCTTTGCACGCACAAGAAGAAACTAAGCGCTTCCTGTGGGTAACGATTAGGCCTGTTCGCTGAAAAAGGAAATTGGTTTGCCTACCTGCACGATAATACCGCTCCTCATAGCCGTTTTCCTTGCCACAAGAGGAGCCGTTATTCCCTGTTTATTGGCACCCAATCCCTCTCCCTGTTTCCACCCCATCTTCTCCATCATACGCGCTGCAAATGTCTTTTTATTTGGGTCAATATATGATGGCAGCAAAGGCGCCTGAGGCTCAGGGGANCCGCCCGCCAAATCAGGTAGGAAAACCGCGGCTGGCCGCCTTGCCTTAATACTCCGTGCATGCGCAGCAAGTGGAAACTGCACAATGGCTACTGCTATGTCCGTACCGTTTCGAGAAGCCTCCTCCTCTTGTTTCTGCTTTTCCAGCTCCTGCTGGCGCAGCCTTTCTAGCTCTTCTCTCTGCTGCTGTCTCATTTTCTCCTTGTGAATCGCAGCGTAGTCGTTCGGTTTTGAGGGGTCATACTCCTGCGGCCAAAGGCCCACGGGCACCCAAGTCGTAGGATCTAAAGGAGCGCTGCTGCCTACAGTTACAGACGTCACATTGAAAACAGGGTCTGCCTGGCTTTTGGCGGATTCTGCTGTTCCTGCTGCAGCGTCCCCCCCACCCGCACCTGCCCCTGATGCGCGTGCCGCAGCAGCCGCATCCGGTTTCTGTTCCTCTGCTAAAACACCAGCATGCAGCTTCTTGAGTCGTTCTAAAACGAGAGCAGCGTCCGCTGCAGCAGCTTGGACGTTTAAAGACGGAGACGCTTTAGGTGCAGCCTTTGCCAACGTCTGTCGCCGTACGACGGCCGGAGTTAAGAGCTTCAGCCTCTGGCTGGCCCACATGGCGCTGCTGGAGCTGGTGGTATCTGTGGTAGCCGCAGTAGCGGCAGCCGCTGCTGCGGCTGTGACTGCAACAGAACCACCGGAACTGGAAGATGACGCGCCTGTGGTTGTGGAAGCTTCAGCTGGTTCATCAGGGTCATCGTACAGAGACCCCAACAACGACCCACTAGGGGCCGGAGTAGGTACGCCTTTCTCTGCGCCATCCCCTTTTGTGGGGGGAGGCAGATCGCCATAAAGAGAATCAAGCATTATTGGAGAGCAGGAAGGCGGGGAAATGGGAGGGCGAGGGAAGGGAAGGGCGGCGAAAGAAGGACTGCACGTGATTGCTGTTGCAAATGCACGTGAGTACTGTTGCAACTATAAATTGCGCAGGAATGCTCAGAGGCCATACAGTACTGTCAGCCAAGCCCTGCAGCTGCAACAGCAAATAAGTTCTTAAAGTGCTTGCACGAGCTCAGTCGGTATGAACGAGGCGGCCGATCCCTTCGATGAGGTCTTTCCATACAGGCTAGTTTGATTAAACTGCCATAACCGTATTTCCATGAAAGAGATAGAGAAATAAGAAAGAAATCCGTCGCCCTCTGGGGGGTTCTTGCAGGCTGCTGCAGAGCATCAGGCAAAGACCGAAGAGATAACTGCGAGACGGAAAGCTGCTGCACGTGTTTAAAATGAGACGCATGAAGCAATAAAAAGTATATTCATAATTTAAAAATAAGATCAGCCAAAGTGTCTACACCCGAAAATCGATTTGAGTGAGCGCCTTGGTTGAGTTTACGAAAATGCGAGCCCCAACGTGTGGACTGGGAAGTCCCCTGTTGGGGAGTGCTTACAAATGTTTGATGAATTATATGCATTGAAACAAAGAATATATTTAGTCAAGCGGAAAAAAGAGCACAAAAAAGGAATTGTGGCCCCAAAATGCCTTCCTGCATGCGCAGCAGCCCGGCATAGGGAACCACTTACGAATTACCTCAATCAATCACCCCACATTTTCCGAAGTGCTCGCAACTAGCCTTGAATTTTC